CCCCAAAACCCCAAAACCCCAAAACCCCAAAACCCCATTTATTCACAAAATTTAAAAACTTTTTGAATTTAAAATGAAACCAGGAGCCAATAAATTGGGGCAACGAAGGATCGATCTAAATATCAGTACAAAGACTAAGGAAAAAGCTGAAATCGTCAAGAGCTACATCGAAGGGAAATACGCACGGAAACGGAATGAAGAGAAAGAGAGAAAGGAAGGCTGGGATCTCCTCAGGGCTAAAATGGACCTCCTCAACCTCACTCCCCATGAGAAGGAACTCATCAAACAAGATGTGCTACATAAAGAAGCTGAATTGAATAGAAAGGCAAGGAAATAAAATCACTATTTTTGAATATGAGCCTTTGGATATTATAGGAAGAGGTGCCTTCGGAGAAGTCAGAATCTGTCGCCACAAGAGCACAGGAGAGGTAGTCGCTATTAAGAAAATGAAGAAGAAGGAAATGTTAATGAAAAATCAAATTGCACATGTTAGAGCGGAGAAAGATATCCTGTCAAATGCTAATAATTCATGGATAGTCGAACTTAAATGCTCTTTCCAAGACCCTAATAATCTTTACTTGGTGATGGAATATTTACCAGGAGGTGACTTGATGAACCTTCTTATTAAAAAGGACATCCTCTCTGAGGAAGAATCTAGGTTTTATATGGGAGAGATGATCCTTGCCATTGAAACTGTCCATAAGCTCAATTATATTCATAGAGACCTTAAACCTGATAATGTTTTGTTAGATGCAGATGGCCATATAAAATTAACAGATTTTGGACTCAGCAAGCATGCTGAGATTAGATCAAATACTGAAAAAGAAAAACAAGATAAATATGAAATTAAAAGATCGTCAAATTTCAAAGCTTTACAAATGATGCTTAATAAGAAACTTGGATACAAAAGAGATCGGCAGCTTGCCTTCTCAACAGTCGGTACTCCTGATTACATTGCTCCTGAAGTCTTTGCTCCCAAAGGGTAAGCTCTCTCTAATTCCATAGCTACGATGAGTGAGTTGATTGGTGGTCAGCCGGAGTCATTCTGTTCGAAATGCTGGTCGGGTACCCTCCGTTCTTTTCGGATGACTCCAGTGTCACATGTCAGAAGATCCTCCACTGGAAGAAAACACTGGCCATTCCATCTGAAGCCAACTTGTCTCCTGAAGCCGAAGACCTCATCCGAAGCTTAATCACTGATGCTGACAAGCGACTTGGCAGAAACGGAGCCTGCGAGATCAAAGAACACCCATTCTTTGATGGCTTCGACTGGGACGGAGTCAGAGAGAGCCAGGCGCCATTCTTGCCTGAAGTGCATGACCCGACTAGTTCAGAGCACTTTGACAACTTTGACGAAGAAGAGCCGTTCTTGCCAGACAAGATGGAGTACGCCAAAGAAACCAAAGTCCGGAGACAGAAATAAGGATCCATACTTTGTTGACTTCACATATAAAGGAGATGTTGAGCAGGAGAAGCAGAAGTATACATCAGCTCTTAAAGAACTAGAAGGGCTGAATGAACAAGAGAGTATTCCTCAGGAAGACCCTCGGATGGGCAAGGTATCCGTATCTTCTAAAATGCAAAGCCAAAAATATATGAAAGAAAAGCCAAGTGAAAGTAGGTATCAAGAAAAGGAAAATTATTACCAGGGACCTCATGCTGGAAAGAGTGGGTACTCCAAAGAACCAAACTATCATGAAGAATCTAAAAATTATAGATAAAGAAATTCAATATACATCCAGTTGAAGGGGTTTTGGGGTTTTGGGGTTTTGGGGTTTTGGGGTTTTGGGG